GAAGCGTGGTCAGCAGGTCAAGAGAGGTGATTCTCCCCCTTTACTCTGCTCTTGTGAGACCCCACCTCGAATACTGCGTCCGGTTCTGGTGTCCCCACTGTAAGAGGGACATGGAGCTGTTGGAACGAGTCCAGAGGAGTCACAAAGATGATCCAGGGGCTGGAGCAGCTCTGCTACGAGGACAGGCTGCGGGAGCTGGGATTGTTCAGTCTGGAAACGAGAAAACTCCGAGGGGACCTTATCACCGCCTGCCAATCCCTGAAGGGAACCTACAGGAAGGCTGGGGAGGGACTTTTTACAGGAGAGGACAAGGGGGCAAGGGTTTAAGTTTAAGGAAAACAGATTTAGATTGGATCTTAGGAAAAAATTCTTCAGTACAAGGGTGGCAGGATTGGAATAAATCGTCCAGAGAAGTTGTGCATTCCCCCTCCCTGGAGATGTTCAAGGCCAGGTTGGACAGAGCCTGAGTAACCTGGGCTAGCTGAGAGGCGTCCCTGCCCGTGGCAGGGGGGTTGGATCAGATGATCTCTAAGGTCCCTTCCAACCTCGGCCATTCTAGGATTCTAAGAAAACAAGGAATCTTTGAATGCATACTTCTCCACTCCTGTAAAAAACATCTGCAGTGACTCTGAGTAAGGCAGTTGGAAAGGATTAGGATGTAGTGCAACAATACCTGCAATTTTCTCCATCCGTTTCGAACGCGGATAAAAACCTCACTCATTTCACTCAGATAGATGAGCGTACCTTCTGCTACCAAATGAACTTTTTCCAACATACCCTCAATGTTTCGGAATGTCGTAACCTGTCAGGCAGAAGAGTGAAACGTGCTTCATCAGACACGCAAACCAATATCAAGGTAAATTGTTAAACTGAAGTCTCATCTGAACACACAAGTGTCATGGCTTTTTCCGCAGGAAATGCTCACCAGGTCATTCTTATGTCATTTCATACCAAAAGCTTCAGTTATGTAAATATCTTGCTCCTTTGCCTTACTAGCACCGAGAGCTAATTTGGCACAGAGTGAAGATCGTTGCATCTCTGTGGTTTAGCATACTAGATTAAAAGGGTAAAGATCAAAAAAGACTTGATAAGATCGTTGCATCTCTGTGGTTTAGCATACTACATTAAAAGGGTAAAGATCAAAAGAGACTTGATGAGGCTTATAAATTGCTTTAAGCATGGCATATGCCCCTTTCCATTACTTTAGCACACCATCAATCTTTGCATTTGTTTGAATAGGCTGTTATTAGCAAGGCAAAGGACAGCCTCCTCCTCTCATCACTTCTCCCAGCTAGATGAATTCCTTGCTGCAAAATTAAGACGTTCAGAAACCCAGTAAACCTTCTCATAAATAATAAGCCAAA